CTAGATATAGATGTTGGTGTTTATTTTAAAAGACATCAGAGAAAGGTTTAGAATGTGTAATCTTTCTGTTTATTTGATACTAAATTAAACATAGTTTTAATAACTCAGATATAAAAAGAGTCAGAAACATGTGACTATACCTCTAGAATTTAAATTTAAGTATAGTGTAAACTTTCCCTAAGCTTTATTGATTTTCTAAATATTTGGAAATGAATGGATGACATGAAAGGTGAGATATAATTTTACAATAGTAAATTTTATGAAATTAATCAATGGGTGTTTGCTATGTAAGTTTGACAGAGAACTTATTTTAATCATATGCATTAGTGTATGTAAAATATCTGTACAGCTCAAAAGTGGGCACTGTAAGACCACACTCCCAGCTATTCTTGTTAAATTGGTTGAAGTAGACATTTAGAATATGTAATTTTCTGTTACAGACCATTTTTAGAGCAGTTTTAGATTTACAGAAAAAATTGAGAAAATGCTACAGAGATTTTTCATTACTCTTGCCTCCAAATATGCACAGTTTGTTCCACTATCAAAACCCTGCACTACTATGGTACGTTTTTCAACATGGATGAACCTGTACTGACATATCATTATCACCCTAAGTCTATAGTTGGCATTAGGGCTCACTCTTCCTCTTGTACTTTCCGTTCTGACAAATATGAAATGACATGTGTCCACAATTACAGTATCACACAGAGTCATTTTCACTGCCCTAAATGACCTTTGTGCTCTGCTTATCCGTTCTTTCCTCTCCTAACTCTTGACAACCACTCCCTCTTTCACTGTCTCCATAGTTTTGCATTTTCAAGAGTTCATAGAGTTGAAATCATATAGTATGTAGCCTTTTTAGATTGGTTTCTTTCACTTAGTGATAAGCGTTTAAGGTTGATAGCTCTTTCTTTTTAGCATGGAATGCCATTCTGTTGCATGTCTATATCACAGTTTATCCATTGATATCAATCCCAATCAAAATACCAGAAATTCTAATCAAAACCCCAACAAGTTGTTTTGTGGATATCAACAACCCGATTCTAAAATTTATTTACAATGTATTATTAGTTTATTTATAGCCAAAAGACAAAATAGTTACTGCAATATTGAACTAAAAGAACAAGGTGCAGGAGCTGAAACTATCTAAATTCAAGATTTAATATAAAGCTACAGTAATCAAGTCAGTGTGATATTGGTAAAAGAATAGACAAACAGATCGATGGAATGGAATGTTGCAAGCTTTGTCAATTGCATATAAAGCTGTTATAACATTCACGTACAGGTTTTCATGTAGATGTAAATTTTCAACTTATTTCGGTAAATTCCAAGAAGTACAATTGCTGTATCATATGGTAAGAATATGTTTAGTTTCTATAAGAAACCGTGAAACTGTTTTTCACATAGGCTTTACCATTTTGCATTGCCAGCAGCAATGAATGAAAGTTCTTGCGGCCCCATATCCTCATATGCATGTAATGTGTTTTTTGGATGTTGTCTATTCTAGCACATGTGTAATGGTATCTCACTTTTGTTTTAATTTGCAATTCTCTAGTTAGGTATGTTGCTTAATATCTTTTCATATCTTATTTGCCATATTTATGTTTTCTATGGCTGTTTTTCAGATGTTTTGCCCATTAATTATTCTTGATTTCCATTTTTTATTGTTTTAAAAGTTGGTTGTATATTTTGGATAACAGTCCTTTACCTGATGTGTCTTTTGCAAATATTTTCTCTCTGTTTGTGGTTTGTCTTCTTATACTCTTGACAGTGTCTTTTGCAGAGCAGAAAATTTAAATCGATAAGTCCAAAACACCAATTATTTCTCTCATGGAATATGCCTTTAACTTTTTATCTAAAAAGTCATTACAATAACCAAGGTCATTTAGGATTTTTTTCTATGCTGTCTTTTAAGAGTTTTTATAGTTTTGTGTTTTACCTTTAGGTCTCTGATCCAGTTTCAGATAATTTTGGTGAAGAGTATGGGAGCTGTCTTTAGTTTTTTTGTTTTTTGTTTGTTTTTTGGTATACAGATGTTTAATTGTTTCAAATACAACAAATATCATTTGTTAAAAAATAATACTTTTGCTTAATTGTATTGCATTTGCACCTTTGTAAAAAGGGCAATTGACTATATTTATGTGGGTCTATTTCTGGGTTTTCTATTTGATTCCATTAACCTATTTGTCTTTTCTTTTATTGATACCACATTATCTTTATTATTAGAGCTTTATACTAAGTCTTTAATTCAGGTAGGTTTAGTTATCTGACTTTATTCTTTTCCTTTAATATTATATTGACTATTCTCATTTTTTGCCCCTCCATGTAAACTTCAGAATTGATTTGTCAATATCTACAAACTAACTTGCTGGAATTCTGGTGAGAATTGTTTGGATTTTGATTTGAATTGATATTAAGTTGGGAAGAACTGGCATTTTGACAATATTGAGTCTTCCTATCTGTGAGCATGGACTATCTCTTTAGTTATTCTTTTATTTCATTCATTTTGCATTTTGACTCATACATATCTTGCATATATTTTGCTACATTTTTGTAAATTCCACTTTGTACTTGTACTGACATATAAGAAAGTAATTGACTTTTGTATATAAACCTTGTATCCTGCAACTTCATTATAATAATTACTTATTAATTCCAAGTGTTTTTGTTGTTATTATTATGCTTTATTCCTTTGGATTTTCTACATAGACAATCATGTCATCTGTGAACAAAGATAATTTTTTGTTTTTCTTCCTCCTCCTAGCCCCCGCCTCTTTTGGTTGGTCTTACTGGATTTTCTAGGACTTCCACTGTGATGTTAAAAAGGAGTGATGAGGATGGGTGTGGCGGTTCATGCCTGTAATCTCAGCACTTTAGAAGGCTGGAGGCTGAGTTGGGATGACCTCTTGAGGCCAGAAATTTGGAAACAGCCTGGAGTATTGCTTCAGGGATGACACTTCAGTGTATTTATTGAAGTCTGTTTAAGCACTGTGTAAGGTCAACTCCTTCAAGATGATGTGCGATGTAATGCAACAATGCAACCTGTTTATCCTATTGTCATGTGTCCGATTCTGTACTTCCTTTTCTGTAAAGTAGATATCTGAATGCTAAGCTGTGTAGAATCACATGCCTGTGGATCAGTCAGTCTTGCCTAGATAGTGGTGTTTGCTAAGGTACTGTCAACAGGAGAAATAACCATACCAGAAACATGTCTGTCTTTCTGATGACAAACCACAATCTATCATTATGTTTCTTCATCTATTTTGTATCATTATTTTTTTTGTTTTGTTTCAAATTTAGAAATGTTTTTTTCATTTTTATCTTTTAACCTTCCTATATTTGAAAGATTATTATGCGGTATTTTTTTATTTTCATGAGATGTTCATCTACATGCATTGGTCCCAAATGTCATTGTCTCTTATTTTCTAATTATGATGTTTCCAGGCTCTTGGCCATATTCTCAGACAGCTACTCACTATAATCTATATATTCTTGGACCAATTTAGGATGACCAGGGACATTGTTCACACTTTGTTCATTGGTATTATTTTCCATTTCCACAATTTTTCAAGACCATACTTGAATGTGGCTGTGATATAGTTCATTTTTGGGTTGTTCCAGGCACTGAGTCAATTCACTCATTAATTATATTCAGACATTTTCTTCCTTCATTTGGTCACAATGGATACCTCATGACTGGAGAGCAGCGCTGGTACAACTCTTGATAGATGAGCGCTCAGATACTGGCTCTGTAACTTAAGCATGCCCCTTTGCCCTACTATTTTCTCTCTTTTGGTATGCTACCTCTGGACCTATCTGACTTTATGACTTGGCAGGTATGACAGAGCCAAGCTCAAAATAGATATCTGCTATTGTTTCAGCTGTGGTAATACAGTCAGTTTTTAGACTCCATTTGGTTCTATAGGAACCAGACTGGAAAATAAAATATTATACAATACAGATCATTGAATGGGCCTTCATTTATTAGGTCTTTAATATTAGCACTAATCTGTGCCTTTTCCCAGGGTTGTACATAGGAACTCTGCTTTCTCTCTCCCTCCTTCCCTCCCTCTCTTTTCTGTATTTATTTATATATCTATATAGTATCTTAATATGTGGTGAAGAAAAGTTTAAAAGTCTCTACCTGATCTTTCCCAGTATAATAACTTTTATCACAGGCAAAGTATATGTGTTGGGGTTGCTCTTACTGCCAAATATATTAATTTAATTAAGCACTTTTGAGGTGAAAAGGTTATTAGGGTGGTTCTAAAAACCCACTAGGCATACAGTAAGGAAGAATTTCACCAGGACTTTATTACCTGGCCACAATGCCAACACTCTAACAGGGGCGTTAAATATCAATGTCAAGTCAGCTCCTGTGTTCCATTGCCCTCAAATTGTCTGGATATTTCTATTCCGATTTCTAAGTGTACACAGTCACTTTACTAAATAGTCATAGGTCCCTGATAAGGTTTGGGTCTATATCTCTGCCCAAATCTGATGTCAAATTGTAATCCCCAATGTTAAAGGTGAGGCCTGGTGGGAGATGATTGAATCATGGGAGCAGATTCCTCCTTCGGTGCTGTTCATATGGTACTAAGTGAGTTATTGTGAGATCCATTCGCCTTAAAGTGTGTAGCACCTCCCACCCCACTCTTTTTCTCCTGTTCCAGCCATGTAAGATGTGCCCACTATCCCTTCACCATATGCCATGATTGAAAGTTTCCTGAGGCCTCCCCATCCATGCTTCCTATATAGCCAATTAAACCTCTTTTCTTTAAAAATTACCCAGTCTCATATAGTTCTTTATAGCAGTGCAAGAACAGACTAATACAGTAATGCAGTCCCTTTGTAGAGACTGAGGGCATGATTATGATGAATATGCCATTGTATTATCATGTTTCTCCTGATACAGACCTTATCATTTTTACAGTCAGTATATTTCAGATGTAAAAATTGGCTCGAGCCCTGATATTGGTCAAAGAATCATGATTTTTGAATTGAGATAACTGTTTTTAACCTCCTGCTACTCCATTTTTGTCTTTTTTGGGAGGTTATAGACATTAAGTAACAAAGATAGTTGACTGACTATGTGTTTCTTAGTGCTGCCATGGTGAATTAATCATTTCTACAATGATCTCTGTGCCAAGGTTCCTTGGAGTTTGCTTCACTTTTTTTTCTGGTCACTACTGTATTTGTGACTAATCACCTCTGTTACTTTAGAGCCTCACATCCTCAGAGATATGTATGAATCCAGCTTCGTAATTGCTGCCAACACCATAATCTGTAGTATCCAGAGGAGAACTACAACTAAAATTCTTAATGTAGCTGGTGACTCTCACCAGTGGTGTTGGTGCATTGTTTGTTCCTTTGCATTTTCTGAAAATAATCTCTGGTGAGTCTTTGGGTCTCACATAATATTTCATTTCTCTACTCCCACTGCCTTGAAACTCTTTATTCTTTTCTCTAACACCTATTACTAAAAATCAGGAATATCCACCATAATCACCATTATTCAGCAATTTCTCTATGCTTCTAAGAGTCACCATCCCAGTGAGTTTGCTCCATCCTCCTGAGACTGTTCTCAGATTATTAGCTACAGTGTTCCAAATACAAGCACTCATAAAGAATTCTCAATTATGCAGACTTTCATCTGCTCCTGTTTATAGTGCATCCTCAAAATTCATATGCAATTAAAAACACCAATATTCTGGCTCCTAGTTAGCTCCTCCAATGCCAAAACCATTCCTCCTTATCAGAAAAGTCACATAACCAGATGGGTTGGTTATGCTCGTGTTTAACACTGTATAGCTGCTTGAAGGAGAGGAAGTGGGGGCAGCTCCAAAGGCATCTGTCTTTTGCTTGTCAGTGTGGGTAAAGAGTAAAATTCTTCTGCATCATTTTCCAGTACAGAGGAAGAGTTAGTTCTTAGTAGAGAAGTATGGGTTGTGACTGTAATCTCTGAACATTCACAGGGCTCTGCAGAGCCAACTTCTTCAGAAACGTTCTTCTCAGTTTCTTGGACACATATTTAGATCTTAGGTTTTCTCAAGCAAGGCTCCTGTTTTTTCATAACACACATGCCTTGAATAAGCATTTAGACGTCTCTGGAGTTCTGCAAGTTTGTCAGATCTCTGGTGTACTGTTTGGCTATTTATGTTTTTCTGCTGCAGGAAATAAAGGACTTGCTATCAAAGAGACATTCTACTTTCACACTTACTCTTTAGCTTTAAATTATCCTTCTCCGTATGATTAACATAACCTAGCAATAAAGAGCCAACTCTGTTTTCTTCGTAGTCTTTATTAACTTCATATCTTTCAAATATACAGAAAATATGAACTACAAGGAAATCAACCTAGGATATCTTCACAGTTCAGCACTGGTGAAATCACCAGGAACTGGATTGCCACCTTTTCTCAGGCACTATTTGTGTCTCACATACCATACAGAAAAGCATTCTCCTTGGCTATCAGGTAGTGAGTAAGCCAGTCTCCAAGTCTCAAATTAACTTTAATCTTTCCTGCACCACTGGAATTAGAGTACATAAGCAAACACCAAGACATAGCAGGCATAGAAAAATGCCTATAAAAGAAAAGGGGTAGGTAACAAGGCCTGATGGGCAGAGATTTCAGAACTCAAAAAGAATATGATTCCTGTGAAGTTGATGAAGTGGCAGAAGGGGTTGGTAGAAAGAGTCTTAAACTGTAAGATAGTTCAAAAAAGGTTTTATGCAGACTGATTGAGAGACTTTGAGCCAAAGTCTCTAAGTTGAGACTCATATCTCATAGAAACAGGCCTCCATTCGAGCAAGTAAGGCACTCAATCACTGTCTGGAAGACTTCTGTGGAAAGTGCAGCTTCAGCCAAATGTGGCAGTGGATTCACAAGGGCAACAGCTTGGGCCACCATTCAGTTAAGCTCCTTACAGCAGAAGATCTCACTAGATCTTTTCCTGGCTAACACAATAAAAGAAGGCATTAGAAATTACAATGTGATAATTGATTGTAATCATGTAATGTAAAATTTAATGAAGAATTATCAATGTGTTTGGACATTAGAATAAAAATGTCTTCATTTCTGATACTCTCCTGATGTTATTTCTGACCATTGAGCTGTTAAGTTAAAAACACCGATAATTCTGTTTCCAGCACAGGGTATGATTATAAGCATTTAATAGCTTCAATGGGACTGAATGTTTGGCTTGACAGTATCCTATGCTACAGAAAAGGCCTTTAGAAGGAAACCCTGACACCTCAAATGGGGACTACTTGGAAAAGTATTCGTTACAAGATGATGTTTATAGTCCACAAGATTTTCCCATGTCTGTGATCCAGAAAAATAACCATAATATGATATCAAATAGACCAAGTAGAGAAATACAGTTTCTGCTTTGTGAGGACATACTTTACTTAGTTAAAGAATTGCAAGACCCAGTTAAAATGTATCTGAAATACATAGAAGATTTTTCTGGGTGTGAATCTTGAGCATATTGAACCAAAAGGATGCATGTGAATAGGGTAGATTTTATTAGCATGGGAGCACTTATCCATTACGCATAATTCATCAGCCTTAATACACTACAAAGATAGATCAGTCCTTGAAGCTTAGACCCTATGATATTCTCACAAGTGAGATGAAGATCCCAGAAATGTCTTGAAGGAGTGAAGAACTTTAGAACAAATTTATTATTTGAAACAAGGAAAATTGTTACTTGACTATATTCCCTAGGAGGGCCCAATATTCAGACATATCTGCAAGATGGTATGCAAAGCAATAGTGAATGTGCACCAGCAATGTAAGATCAGCATGTCCAATGATAGTATCAATTTCTTCTCTGCAAACAGGCATAGCATCCTAGCATTGATGTTAGGTAGGATTCCAAAATTATAGAGGTGAGGTTGTTCCACTTAAGCAACAGGGACAAGTAGACATAGTTACCAGAATGCAAAACTAGATGGAAAAACAGTGCTTTCATCCACAGGGAAAGGTAGTAATGGCTAAGAATCCATGTTTTTCCTGGTGGAAAAAGCTGAGAATCCCACTTGAGTACTGCTTGACTAATGAAACCAAGAAAAAAATAATCAAAAACCGGAGATTAGATGTAAATGATAGCATTGGCAATGGAATAAAAAAAAAACTTAAATCTTATGCAGTTTTTCCGACTAGTTCTCCATCACAGCACTCATTGATTGAATAGCAGTTTGGATCCTTCTGAAGAAGAGTCCTTCGATATTGTCACAAGTATACATAATAAATATTAGTTTTTTTGTTTTAAACAATCTTCATTCACTAGAATGAATGTAGACTGGGGTTCACAAGAACCTTAATGATATTGACATTAAATATAATATTATGCTGATGCATTGCTTCACACAAGTTAATGGGTTTCTTTGGATTTTGGAAGCACAACAAACAACATTTGGGAAAGATCATTTATCAAGTTACTCAAGATTGTCAGTTTGAAGTGCAATCCAGAGCAAGAGAGGGTTAAACATGAAATCAAATTTAACCGATAAAATACCCTCACATTCTAGCCATTAGACCTAGATGTCAAAATACTAGAATTATTTGAGGTAGACAAGAATGATATGGAGAGTCTGTAATATAAGCGAACTCTAAAAGGAGGTCAGAGCTAGACTCAGGGCAAAGAGAATTACTCACCATTTGAAAAACTATTTCTCATATACTGCTGGACCCAAATAAAATAACTAATTGTTCTTTGGGAGGCCAAGGCAGGTGGATCACGAGGTCAAGAGATCGAGACCATCCTGGTCAACATGGTGAAACCCCGTCTCTACTAAAAATACAAAAAATTAGCTGGGCATGGTGGCGCGTGCCTGTAATTCCAGCTACTCAGGAGGCTGAGGCAGGAGAATTGCCTGAACCCAGGAGGCGGAGGTTGCAGTGAGCCGAGATCACGCCATTGCAGTCCACCCTGGGTAACAAGAGTGAAACTTTGCCTCAAAAAAAAAAAAAAAAAAAAAAAAAAAACAAACAAACAACCACCTAATTGTTAAGAGTACATAACTGCCGACTCAGAGCGCTCCCCGTCAAAACCTGAGCAAGATCTATCATATCATATGGTTAAGTGGGCACTGAAGCTACCAATTATACAGTGGAAATGTCACATTAAGATGTAAACATGAACTGTTAAAAGTGATACAAGTGTGTTACAGGTACAAGTTACTCAAATTGCCATCAGAGCTATTAACTTTGTATCTTCTCATCTAACTCAGCTCTCACCTATAGTCTCCTGGGGGATTCTTCATGATCAGTTGATACAAAAGGAAAATGCTCAAGCTTGATTCACGGAGGGATGGCTTAGTATTTTGAAGCAAATCTGAAAATGAGTTGCTGCCATGCTGCAACTCCATTCAAGGCTGGCTTTAAATAACATTAAGAGGAAATTATTTCACTTGAACAGTGCATTATACATGATATTCAAGTCTGTATGTAGAGAAAAAGATTGTGAGGTAAGAATGTACAAGAACTCCTGGCTCATCTCGTTTTTCTGGAATCATGAAGGAGCAATATTGAAAGACTGGCATTAAGATTTGGAGAAATCCCAGCACTTTGGGAGGCTGAGGAGGGTGGATAACGAGGTCAAGAGATCAAGACCATCCTGGTCAACATGGTGAAACCCCGTCTCTACTAAACATACAAAAAATTAGCTGGGCATGGTGGCGTGTGCCTGTAATCCCAGCTACTCAGGAGGCAGAGGCAGGAGAATTGCCTGAACCCAGGAGGCAGAGGTTGCGGCGAGCCGAGATCATGCCATTGCACTCCAGCCTGGGTAACAAGAGCGAAACTCCGTCTCAAAAAAAAAAAAAAAAAAAAGATTTGGAGAATAACTTGGGCTCAAACTATATGAGCTAACACAAAGTTTGCAGGTCTCTGTGGCTCACGCTATCATCTATAAGAGAGAAGACAGCATCTATTGCAGAGAAGGCATTCAGCACATGCACATGTAGAACAAGATGGCTTGTCCTGTATACTTCAGTTTCCATGTATATTTGACTATCTTGTACTTGCATAATGTGAATGGAGTAGCATTGGTGTTAGCAGTGGTGTTTTGTATGGACTCATAATTATTACCTCTCTCTCTCACCACAACAATAATGTCCTATTGTAGCAGAGACTAAAGCTTTTCCGCTAGTTCTCCAGTGTTGACTTTTATAAAAATTGTGAACAGAAACCATTCTGATTACAAAATTACAGAGAGGACTTTACATATGACATAAACTAATCTGAGCAGTGGCAAGACACAGCCCATTTATTAAAGGCAGGATAATTGGCAGACTGCTTAAAATTACTGGGTGCACCATGGCTGTGATTGCCAAGTTCTGTTGTTGCTGTTGGTTTGTTTTTGTAAGCTCACACTCATGCTAACATTATTACTCACAAGTGTGTACCATATGTCTTTTTGTGCTTTGCCCCATGCTTGCTCTGAAGCTGTAGAAACTCACTTGGACAGCACAGAAATGTCTTCTGGAAGTGTGGAAAACTTGGCTCTCCTAGGCGACAACTTTGAACTAGTAGAGGGTGCAGTGCAGTTGAAAGATACCCTAGCTTCCCATAAGTTGAGGCTTATTTGAGAGGCATTATGTGCTTCACAGAGATTTCTGAGGGAATGAAAAACTTTTGTTCAGCAGTAATCTTGATAAATGACTCGTGTTTCTTTCCTTATCCAATTCAAGGCCTCATTTTTCCATCTACCTCACATTTGCTTATAGACAGCACTTCTCAAGTAATGTACCAGCACAAAGGTTTTGCTTCAGTCTCTGCCTCTAGGATAACACAATTGGTGTCATAATATAGGTTGCATGATACAGCTTACATCAAAGGTTCTAAAATGAATGCTTTATGAAGTTAAAATAATTTTAAAATTTTACATGGATAGGTTTATGACAATCGTGGTGATGTTTTCAAAGCTGTATACTTATTGCCAAATTCATCTAGTTGCATGAATTAAATATGTACAGCTTTTTTCATGTCAATCATACCTCAATAAAGTGTTTTAAATAGAAAAGTTAAAAAAATACTAATTCAAATCCAAAAGCTAAAAACAAGTTTAATAACATTTTAGATTATTTAGTTGCAATCCCAGAGATTCTAATTCAATGTGTCTTAGGAAAAATTTAAAAATATTAATTTAATCAAGCATTACAGGTAATTTTGTGCAACAGATCTCAGGACTGGCTTTGAGAAATCCTGTTTAAGCCAGTCAAGACCATTGCTTACATTTACTTGGCTTTTCACAATCTTATTTCAACATACAAGTGAGCTCCAAAATTATACTCCAGAATGTAATGTTCAAACTAGAATCAAATGCCATAATTTAGAGAACATACAATAAAAAACACATTGGTAAATGCTTGAAATATTGAAAATCTAGTGAATAATGCAATATCAACATTTGTAGGATATTTAGGTGTTAAATGCATTTAGATCCTCACAGATCCAAGTCTGCCAAG